GGGATAAACATACTTTTTTTGTATTTCTTAGAACACATACATGGGATTCCTGGACTACAGAAAGCAAGCGGTTAGAGATCTTGGCATCAGCCCCAGCACCTGCTCCTTTAATCCTGGAGTAATTGTTGCTAACATGACTGAATGGAAACATCAACGGATTACGAAGCAGTTGGAAAAGTGGATGCAAAGAAATGTGGAGTATGTAGAGAAACCTAGCTTTGCACTTTACTTTTAATACTCAGCTTAGTGTCTAATTTTCTGCTTATAAGCTCTTAAAAGTTTCTAACTCCAAGCAGTCTTTCTTTGAGATCTCATCAAGCGAAGTAACTCACGTTGCAGAATTCCCATCTGCTTAAATCTGACCAACCGCGTACCAGGAAACGGCCGCCCGGCGTTCCAGTCTTGTGTTTGATCACAAACCACGCTTAATCCTGAGGGGCACCGAGAACACGTGTTTCTTCTTGTGGGTGACCAGCCTGACTTGGGATCAAGCCACTTATGATCTTCCCTTCCTGAGGCTGGCTTAAAGGAGGAGGAACGTTTCCTTGTTTGTGTGGGGTCTCTCCTACTGTAATGCCAGCCAAACTGTAACTGGACACCATATTTCTTAAACACCAATAGAAAACACTTCTTTTTCTATAGCTGAATGAAATCTGACGTGAAAGAGATCTTTTTGGCGTTGACCATGAGTAAGTCATGACACAGTGAAACGATCGCTGTTCATTTTTTATGTTAGTTCACTGTTAACCTGTATTTGCAAACTTAACATTTACTTTCTCTTTCTGCAAAGGGTTAAATTAAATTTAGTAAGGCTAAACTGAAAGCGAATAGCTTGTGCTATGGGACTACGTCCATCGCTTGTTAGTTTCAGAAATGAACAGAGGAGAGACGCGAATGATAAGCATGTGAAGGAACGAGAAGCCAAATGTCTTTCTCTTATTCTGCTTATGTTACATATCCTGATGAGCTATTGCTATGCTTTTTAAGAGTTTCAGAAAACTCCATGGATATTGCTGCAAATTTCATCTGCAAAGATGATTTTATACCTTAATAACACATTCATGTTCCTTTTGGCTGGATTTTGAAATGACAGTGAAATAAATTGCTTAGCAGTTGAAACCCAGTTTTGAGGGGAGGTTATGACTTTTTTTTTTGTTCTGCAGCCTCAGCATCTCTCGATACTTCCCAGGTTTCCTCCCTGTCGGGCTGGCGGGTGGCACAGTGTCCCATAGCTGGGGTGGCTTCGCCCATGTGCCAACCGGCCGGCCAGGCCTTCGGCACGCTGTGACATCTGGCTGCTACCTCCTAACGCCTCTCCTTACAGAGATTTGGCTTTATCTAGCCCTGGATTTAGCACAAAATTCTTAGGAAATTGATATCCTTTAGATGTTAGTTTATACTAACTAGACTTTGGCAAATCTGATTTGAAGTTAATTTATGGGTCTGAAGGCTGGGGGGGGAAGGGGAGAGAAAGACAGAGGGAATGAAACACATAGAAACATGTACATTTTTCTTAAGAAACCAGGCTAAATTCTGTTTGATTCCTTCATGTTAACAGCTTTTTTCCTACTGTAAACTTTGTCAGCCTTGTAGACTATAGGCAGCGTGTAGAAGTAATTGGCTTCATATTGGGTCTGACTCCCATTTTGCTTGGTAGCAACGATTTACGCAAGAGGAATTGGAGTTGCAAGAATAAGCAGTTAACAGCATTAGGGAGGAGTATGCTGAAAACGGGTCTGTTCAAAATGATTTTGAATTTTGCCAGAATACTCATCTTTAATCTTCTGACTGTTGTACTAAAGACTCTTTGATTGAGGTTTTGAACATTTTCTGCCTTTTTTTTTTTTCTTCTTTTCCCTTTTGCAGGGAAAACCTCTACAGCAGCACCCTCGGGGGAGGTGTGGCAACCTCTCCAATGCTGATTGTATTTCATGGAAAGTATTCCACTATTAATCCTATGTGGCATGTAAGACATCTTGGTAAGTTTAACTTCCCCCTGTTTGCAGTTGGAACTAAACAACGCGAGCGGTTTGTAAGATTCCAGTATAGGGCCTTACGTTACTTTACCCCAACGCATTACTTTGTACCTCGGATCCGCAGTATATAATCCCTGCTTCCCCCAACACTCATCAGTCCTGCTTTCTCCAGGGTAGGGCAGAACGTGGGGGTTCCCCACGGGTGTCGTGGGGACATTTGCATATATATACGTTTGCATATATTTACGCAAATACCTTAACAGGTCAAGAAAACAAAATAGTTGTACCCCTGCAAAAAACCCTAAACCCTAATAATCGTTAAGTTGGATAAAAAAAGGGAAAAAAAAACCCAAATACCAAGGACAGAGTTACATGTTTGAATATAGTGAGAGACTGAAAACAGTCAGACATTCTTATAGTAGGCACAGTGGAAGAAGATGGGACGCCTGGCGGTGTGTGTATGTGTGTAGTCAGCATTCTGGAGGATGTAGTTACCTTTCACCTGGGAATGGTGAATTACCCTGGGAAAAAGAGGATGGCTTAGCTGGTATAGTAAAATGAATAGTGAAAGGATTTTTTTTTTTTTTTTAAACCCCAGCTATGCCAAAATCTTAAAAGCGTTAAGAGAGAGGAAGTTTGCTTTTTTTTTCCTAATTCTGCATCAGAGAGGCATGAAGTCGAAAAAAGCTAGTCTATCATACAACTAGTTGTCTATTAACAGGTGAAACCATACTAATCAGACTTTAAACAAAACACCCAACTGAATTTACCCCACTCCATAGTGTCTTCCATTATTAAAAACTGATTTTTTTTTTTTTAAATGTACCCATGCAGGTTGGAGTCCCGATACCCGTTACTCAGAGCATTTTCTTCAAGAAGCTAAATTACTTCATTGGAATGGGAGATATAAACCTTGGGACTATCCCAGTGTTCACACCGATCTCTGGGAAAGCTGGTTTATTCCTGACCCTTCAGGGAAGTTCAAATTAACTCGTCCCGATAGCTGATACTGAAACCACTTAAATGCATTCATATATTATGTTTTGCAGTATGTAATAGATGCAACGTGTTGTATAATTAACTGGTCTTAGAAAACTAAGTATTTGTTAAATATATGAATAAATGACCATCAGTTTTGTGTGCTTACGGCTGGAGAGGGAGGCTGGAGTGACACAGTTCAGGTTATCTTGACTTTCATGTGAGGGGAGGAAAGAATTTTACTTGACAGTGAAGTATTTTCATTAAACATTTACAGAGGTGAAATTCAGTGCCAGACAGTGTGTTTTAATGTCAGGTCTTTATCAGTAAGACTCCAATGTCTCCTGGTAGAAAAATCTACACAGGAAATACTGCGAGTATTACGTACAAGGTGTCTTTAGTTGTCTAGCCCACGTTAAACAGCCTGAAATGAAAACTTACGCAGCACTGTAGTGAGTGGGGTTCTGTTGCATGGTGACTCTGTTCTGCAGTGTTTCTGTGTGTTACGTGTCCTGGAGTGCGTTTAGAGCCCCACGAGCAAGATGCAAAAGCACATTCTAAGACAGTGCAGTACAGTTCCTGATTTTATTGTGAAACATTGATAGATTTAGGACAGATTAAGAACTTTTGTATTACTGTAATGAAAAGAGCACCAGTTCTGAGGGAGTACACGGAGAAGGGCAATATTTAGTGAAACGGTCATTGTACACTGAACTGTATTTTATACCTAGATACCCTAGTAGGTGACTCCGTTAAAGAAGAGACCTTTCCCTTCCCATCAAACAGGATAGCCTTACAGTAGTTATATCCTACTGTGCTACATACTCAGCAGTGCTAATTACACGCTTCTGGTTTTGTTGAAAAATAAAATTGAATTGTAACAAATCCCTGATGCAAGATACTTTGAGCACCTGCAGGAGAACGTCCATGTAAACAGCAATACATGATACAGTACACTTTTTAAATAACAGACAAGACAAGTCCTATACCTTTTTGACAACATACTGAACAGCTTTATGCTGAAGCTAATAAACACAATCAGAATCATAACGCACACTTTCTTGATGTAAGATGCTCAGAATTAAGCCACATAATTTGGGAAGAAAACTGTAAACATCACGCCTGCCTCACAACAGGTTGACAGCATGTGATCTCAGTGAGAGCTGTTACAGCAGGATTAGAATCTACGCTAACTAGTTACACTCAATGCTTGACGACTCTCACTGGCTGCGAGGAAAGGATAAAACACACTGGTACAGCAACCTCTGACCAGCGTGGATTGGAGATACTGTTTGCATCTCTTTTTCAAGTATGTGAAGCACCTACTGTCATAAGATCATCAAAACTTTAATGTTTTGATCAGCTTATTGCTTTTACTTCATCTCTTCCTCACATGATAAAAGAGGGAAGAAAGATGATGACGGTTAGGCACAAGCTTGGAATCTCATTTCTTTCTCAGTCACTAATATTGGCCAAAAATGTGCACTGTTTAAGCAAGTTCCTCAGAAGAGAGCTGTAGTTTCTACAGCTGACTTCTTATTCATGGAACAGCTGCCCTTATGTTTAACTTAGTATTTTTTACTTGTAAGAGGAATAAGGAGAAGACCCTCTAAGGTCTTACAGATTGAAGAGAACTGAATGTTAAAAACTGCTAAATTGCAAACCTCTTTCACGCTGTGCTACTTGTTTCTGATGTAAGCAATGTAGCTGTACGTGGTTTTTACAGGGAACGTGGTCTTTCACTTCCCTGCAATGTAATCTGTTCAAAGGGGTTGTCTCCTGGTAAAGGTGAGGTGAAGAGACTGATCACACAGAAATATGACAGAGTTTAAATGCCACAGAATTCTAGAACCACTGTTGTTGGGGCATTTGGTTTTTTTTTTTTGTTTTTTTGTTTTTTTTTTAAGGAATTCCAGTTCTTC